AGTGAGTAGACGTGTGCTGCTCTAGTGAGTAGACGTGTGCTGCTCTAGTGAGTAGACGTGTGCTGCTCTAGTGAGTAGACGTGTGCTGGTCTAGTGAGTAGACGTGTGCTGCTCTAGTGAGTAGACGTGTGCTGCTCTAGTGAGTAGACGTGTGCTGCTCTAGTGAGTGCCATGAGCGGACGTTGTCAATTTGGTATCTTAACGAAGGTTAACTGAGAAAGTTTTCCCGACATCATTTCATCAATGGTTAATGGTGGGTTCCATTATAAGGCAAATTCGACAGGTAATTTCGGCAGCCTTATTTTGGTAGAAAGCAGTAGAAATGAAGCCGGAGACGGGACAGGACTGGAAACTCCTTGACTGAGAACTAATAACAATTTTTTATTGAATTTCGTTGTTTTCAAGCTTTGTTTTCTTATAGTTTGGTTAATTTCAGATTGCAGTTTTCTTATTTTGATGCGTTATTTATTGTCACGTTTAAGAACAAAATTTTAGTTTATTTGCGTTCAATGATTGTCAAGGCTATGAATATTGTGATCCCCATAGTACAAAATTTCATGTAGAAAGAAATTTTATTTCGTTTTCCTATTGAAGTTTTATTGAATCAACTGTTATAGAATATATTGAACTTTGTCTAGTATTTTCATGTTGAAGGAAATTTTGTATCGTTCTCTTATTTAATTTTATTCATAACTTTTCCATAATTTCTTATAATTTCCCTATGTAAATAAAGTTATAATTTATTATAAATTAAGGCTCCAAAATTGCTCCAATTAAAAATTGCCACCACAAATTTCAGAATAATGCTTCACTGCAATTTATTTCATACAAATCCCAAGAATTTTGGATACTATTTCACTCAGCTAAAAATTATATGCACTTTCTTTCCGCATTTTTTTCTTATGTTTAATGTTACGTTGTATTTTTAATTTATTTCAGCGCACAGAACGAAGTTGACTCAATTGACTCAACCTCACGACCACCTGTAGGAAATGACTCTGCAGTTGACTCAATGGCTGCCACTGAAACTGACTCTGAAGAGAACGCTTATTTCCCTCATTCGTATCACGACGAAACGCAAAGCGAAACGGCTCCGGGCCGGAGCTTTGCGGCGTTTCAGAGAAAACTACACTCGGATAGTTCACGAAAAAGAGGAATGCCAAAAAGTAAGTAAATTAACGAAGAATAATATAACAAATGGACGGAGTTTAGGTTGAAAATGATAAAATTTTATTGACGGCGAGAAATTAATTCCTCCTGTGTGGTTATTAAAAAATATGACCACACTTGATTCGCATTTATCTGAAGCTTCAGACTTGCCCTAAATTTATATTTCAATTCAAATTACCTCACGTTAATTTTTGTGCTTGGAATAATGCGATTTGGTAACAAAATATATACATGTAATGAAATTACCCGATTAAGGGTTATTTATAAATTTATGACAGCCTGGACTTATGAACAGGGTTATATCAAAGTTAAATTAATAATATACTGTACGTTTAAAATTTACTTTTTAAAGACAACACTTCCAACGAATCAAGTGTCTCCAATCTTACGGATGTACAATGAATTTCTCATTTAATTTACGAATATTAAAAAAAACCTTTAAATTTTTTAATATATAAATTTTTTTAGTGAATAAATATTTTTGTTCAAAATTATTTATTCTGTTAAATTATTCATGCATTGCCTCTGACTTCACACAAGTGTGCAAAATATCAGATCAATTTGACAAGTAAAAGTTTGTCAAATATCAGTTATAAGATTTTTAGCTGACAAAATTATTTTGTCAATTTTTTTAATATTGAAAAAAAAAAACAATTTTTCATTTATTTTGACATTTGATTCATGCATTCTCTCCAACTTTACACAAGTATGCAAAATTTCAGATCGATAGGCTAAGTAGAAGTGCATTAAATTTCGATTACACGAACTGTAGCAGACAGACAAACAGACACGAAGTGAAGTTAAAGAGAAGTGTTGTAATTAGAAAACAATGGACTTTTATAACCAGGCTGAGCGTTCAATTATTTACTGAGCATAAAGTGCAAAATTGTCTTGGGGGTTTTTAGGGCCGACTTATGTAGGTTACAATAGAACTTATTCTCATAGAATTTCAACAGTTCAACAATTGCGTTCAGATTATAATAACATTTTTGTGATGAATGTTGCGATGATGTTCATAGATTAATGAGATTTTTCCTTTTTCTCGCTGCCCATTAAAGTTTGGACTACGTAAGTGACGTTTATTTTGTGTGTTTTTATTGTGTATGTCTTCATTTTGTTCATCTATGTCCATATGTTCTTCTATACCACATTTGAAAAACCGAAGGTGCTTTGGGAAAAATTTTCCATTGATTTGATAGTTCTAATTTACGCTTTTTAGCGCATTTTCTCATTTATGGAAAAAATGCACTATTGTGCTCGCTATGCCCGTCCGTCCGTCTGTCTGTCTGTCCGTCCGTCTGTCCGTGACCTCAAGTTTTCGTCGACGAGAAAATGCGCTTTCTGTCACTCACTGCAATGAGTACTGAGTTATATTTTATTCTGTATATGTCACTATTCCTACAAAAGTCATCGATAGCAGTGAAGGACGTAGTGACTCATCCTGTAGACCGACATTCCAATCTTTAATATGTCGTGACCGTAATCTCAAATTTGTCCCACGTGCCTTGAATCATGGTGTGATATCGTAAATATATAATATATTGCTCGTAATTTTTTAAAAGCTTGCATCTTTTTTGTTTCCTGCAGACTGTAGGAGGAGGCGACGCAGCCAGAAGAACTTGAGGACGCTGGAGAACGATTTGGAAAAGGATAGCTTAGGATACTCATCCTTGCCCCCGTAGGATACTTTTCGTGGAAAATGTTGTTTGACTTAATGAAAGGAAATCATTTATTATTAAAATGATATTGAACACATCACCGAGGCATGCGATAATTTGGGTTACATGCGGCTATTCGGAATCGACAAGGAGAATAATTTTGTTGATCAGCGACTTCATCTACATTGGACTAAAAGATAAAAATGAATACAAGTAAACCCACGACATTGGAATAATAATCACAGTTACAAGAGATAATTTAGGAAACTTATAAAAGAGGTAATAAATGACAGAATATGTTGAGATCAACATGAGTCAACTGTTGACGTATCAACAGCCATAGCTTGGCGCTCAGCTAGTACTGAAACGAACAAAATTCATGAGCTGGAAGCACTAGCAGACGTCTAGAATATGACGGCAAGTTCTCCAGGAAACTTGATACATTTATAAGAATCTGAGCTCCGTGACATGAAGTCAGACCTTATTCAATAAAGTTAATACAGTTAATAATAAAGTGAAGACTTTAGCCAATAAAGTTAATATTTTATTAATAAAAAATCGCTCTCTGAGATCAATATTTTAAAGTCAAATCAATTCCTTCAAGTTTCACTTTCAATTTTGGAATACAATTGAGGTCTTGGGCCTGATAATTATGGGAAATACATTGCCTCATTCACTGGAACAGTCGGTCTTTCAATGCAAAAATCACTTCGACAAGACCTACTGCCATTGACTTATACATTTGTACATTTCGGTTCCGTTTTAAGGAAGTACATCGAGATACAATCTTCTTAGCCCCGATGGCACGTATAACCGGTTAGTCCGTAAAACCAAACATTATTTATTGAAGACGGTTTAGTTTTTTTTTACTTAGACAAGATATAATCTGATTGAGGACAGCAGGTCCTCAATCACAACCGTACAAGATTTAGATCACGAAAAGGTTCCAGTTCTGTAGCTGTTATATTCAACGGTTCATCCAATACTTCAACGGTTCAATAGACTGGTTTTTTATTACATGATGACGAGGAGACGCATTCAATAGGTAATAATAATAATTTTAAAAATACTGTATTAAAAAAATAAATAAGAAAATAATTTAAAACAAATTAAGAATCCTTCAAAAAATTTTCCATATTTTCATCAATAAAGTTTTACGGACCAGCTCCTTCTTTAGTTCAACAATTTATAGAATATATTTACCATCAAGAAAGAGAAGAAAATGCATTGCTATATTGTTTGTGCTGATGATGGTATTTTGAAGTGATGTAGCTGGCACCTGAAACGTTTCGCTGAAGATATGTTGAATTTCCTTGCCATTTTCTAGCTTTCTTTTGGAATTCTTGATGAACTTTCAATTTAGTGAAACTAATGGCAAATGATAAATGTATGTTGTTGTGTTGCAAGGTGTGGCTATAGCAACTTTATCAGGAGGAGCTCTGTATGACGGAACATGTCGCCCAAAATGCAATGTAGATGTTAATTTAATGACTAATATTTATTCAAATATTCTGTGTATGTGTTAATGAATGTTTGTACGTGTGTAGTTGTATTAATGTAGCGTGCTTCTTCAATCGTGTACTATGCATTTTTTGTTTGTATTCATCAAATAACAATAATCATCAGACAAAACGTAATTTGCTCGCTTGGTTCCGAATAAAATTAGTATATGAATTAAAAGGCCACTTAAACTACTTTTTTCATCCAATACAAATCACTGAACAAATTTATTGCTACGTATTTTTACTTAAATTGAAACGATTTTCTCGGCAATTTTTTCCCGTGGGTTTAGCTTGAAAAATCTTGTAGAGGCATTGAATTCGGCCTTTTGAATTCTTATATATGTCAAACATTAAAACAAGTTTCAGATATCTTCTATCGTTTACAAAATTTATTGTTATTGTTTCAAATATCATCACGTTTCGTTATTCCTGTGGCACTTAGACTCCATTTTATAAGTGCTCTGGAAACTAAGTACGAATGTCCGTGCCATCGTTTTGTTTGTAATTTATAAGAGGAATCTTTTTATAATAAATATATCAAATGATTCTCGAAAATGTACTGTAAATAATAATAGCGAAGTCATAAATGAACTAGTAATCTCATTTAATGATTATGAATAAATAATATGAATGACTTGCGAGCTGTTAGAGAATATTATCGTAGTAAGCTAACTTAAGCGTACAATTGCCCATGTCAGTCTAGCGTTAGTCAAGTAAGTGGTCAGATAACAATACAGTCGCCCATGTCCGTCTAGCGTTAGTCAAGTAAATGGTCAGATAACAATACAGTTGCCCATGTCCGTCTAGCGTTAGTCAAGTAAATGGTCAGATAACAATACAGTTGCCCATGTCCGTCTAGCGTTAGTCAAGTAAATGGTCAGATAACAATACAGTTGCCCATGTCCGTCTAGCGTTAGTCAAGTAAATGGTCAGATAACAATACAGTTGCCCATGTCCGTCTAGCGTTAGTCAAGTAAGTGGTCAGATAACAATTCAGTTGCCCATGTCCGTCTAGAGTTAGTCAAGTAAGTGGTCAGATAACAATTATGCAGTTGCGTCCGGTTTCTGTTAGCGACATGAATTTTTTTATTATCAATGGTAATGAAACAAGTCATTTAAATATGCATATATGCAGAATATACATAACTCGGAAAGTTTTTGACGATGACGGTTTAGTAATAAATATTTGGTTCAATTTATGTATCCTATGGACAATGTCAGGACGCTACTGCCTCCCTAACGCAAAAAACTCGCATGCATAATTGAGGTGGTCTATTTCAGTGGAAGTCTCACATCGTTGTCACTATAGGAAATATGTTAATTTGCCAGCAATTGACATGCTGCGGTATTGCACTAATAGTTAATAAGCGTTTAAGTGTTTTGTCTCGCATAAAGCAAGCGAAACATTCAAATATCAAGACGACGTTTACGTTGCTCGAATGTACTGTTTCTTCTATGTAATCAGCTTATGCATCACTATTTGCCGGGTTAAGAATTACCAATAAAAATATAAAGGTTTGAAAGGTGATATATTTTTCATTGCCCCATCAATAATATACGATCACATTAGTCGCCGAAAATTCCCTACAAATAAAACTACACCAATAACTCTAGCAATAAGCAATAAATGAAACTATACGAATAACTCTGGCAAAAATTAAGCTATAAATGAAACTATACGAATAACTCTAGCAAAAAATTAAGCTATATATGAAACTATACGAATAACTTTAGCAATAAGTCTATCAAATTGCTATCCGACAGCTAACACTCAGCGAAATTAGGGAGACTGTGTCCAAATAGAAATGCACTTTTTCTCTTTAACGGGCCATGCTGACGCAGTTTCGCCCGGTAAAATAACGTATCGGTGCCACGCCCGCCATCACTGTGGGTACGAAAGTTAGTCACTAGTCGGACAAATCGACCCATTCATTATTCCGGGTGCACTAGTTTTTCTGAATGGCCCATTCATTTTTCTGTATGACCCCTTTTTTCTCTGAGTCATGACAAGACCCGGGGGCCACAGAGCCCCGGACCCAACTTTTCCGCTCTGGCAGGATCTTGTAACATTTCTTTGAGTGATGGCCGTGTCACAGTAGCACAAAGTGTCCAAAAAGCCGACTCAGCTCGGCAAGCTAGAGATGCTTCCAAGATATCGAACCCACACTGAGAGAAATTAGAGCGGCATTGTCCTAATAGCGAAGTACTTTTTGACCTGATGGGAATCGTCCTGATTTAATTTGGCCGGGCAAAAGAGCGTATCAGTGCTACTAGCAGGAAGTGCATCATTATTTGGACGATAAGACACATTAAATTTTATGAGTGAGACCCCCAGTCCCAGTCCTTCATTCCAGGAGAATGTCAGAAGCCAAAGACTCGATCTACGTAACGAGCGCAGCGGTCGAACACAATGAATTTATGGCAGAAAATCCTGTGGGGAATTTAAGATGAAAATTCGTTTAAGAATGAATTTATTGTTTTTCATTGAGTAACGCAAATATTTGAAGTGCACGGCAAATATTCGATGACGTAAACGATTCATTCATTGTATTGAACCAATCATCTTACGCTTTTAACATTGATTTTGAGGCGCGTATGTTAAAAAGCCGTTAGAAACAAAAACGGGGCCGTACTCTTCACTTCAAAAATAATTAAACTTTAAATTAATTTCTTTAAATAAGGATTTAATTATTATTATTTGGTAAATTTCAATTCACGGTATAATTCTCAGTGCAAGTTCTCCTATAGTGTACACAAAAATGTCGTACTATTTCTAATTTGTGAATGTATATACTCGAACAGTCAGAAGTTCATTTCAAATGCTTGAGGATTACAAACGTGTTTGCTGGAAATACTCGAAAAAAAACATACGAAAGTTACCCAATAGGCTATATATAACCTATTAAAAGTAATTTTCTTTGAAAGTAATGAGTAGCTTCCTAGAAAAAATTGAAAGTCATCTAAAGTTTATTATTAAAAAAATAGTTATTCGTTCTCATTCGTCCGAACGTACAGATTTATCCTGTGCTTCTTACGTTGATAGCCAAGGCCAAACTCAAAGAGATCATGGAAAACTCATAACGAAAAAATATGAATGTTAGAAACAAATTAATGTGAAATAGAGGCATAAATAAACGGAATGAAACTCGGGCAATTAAAAGAAATGCTGCTATGACTTCGCACGAGTGCCAACTCGGCATGAATTGAGATGAAGAAACTACCTACGATGTCATAAGTACGAGTAAGAGTAATTTCTAGGGTATTTGTATAGATATATTGCAATTATAATTCATTGCATTTCTGCAAACCAATGAATGATTTAGCTCCTTTGAAACTTAGAAGAATCAATTAAGTTAAAACTGTTATGGAGTGATGTTATGACAAAAATTTGCTTCATGCATGAAAGAACAAAATATTCGAACATTTAAAGGTCTTCTATGGCTAATTTATCAAAACGTACGTACAATCTGGATGCACGATGTAATAAAGTTGGATCGAATTCGGGATGTAATAAAGTAATAGTGCATACACGAGATAAAAAAAGTAATAGTGAACAATGAACACGTATAGGTAATAAACTGGAAGGTAATGCATGATGTGAGAAAGTAAAGGCAAATAAAAAAAATAATGTTACTTTAGAGTTCTATTCGCTGTTGCTTTAACGAACATCGAACGAAAGGACAAAGATTCATAAATCAAAGAGACATAAATTTTTTACCTGCAAAAAAGCTGAAAACGCTTGAAAAAATGAAATATGTGAGGAATTTCGAAAAAATGTATATTTATTCTGCGTAGATTGCGACTCGTGGTAAAGCCTCCATGACGAGGACACAATGATTGCGCCCCAGAGTCCCACTAAAGCAGCGCCTCATCCCCCATAATAAACCGATGTAATCACGGCCAAATGAGGCACAAAATAATATATAAACAAAATAAAAAAGTCTCTAGCTGAGCTCCAGTGTCCATAGCGTGGGTGGCTAGCAACAGGCAGCTGCTTTCTGCCGCTGCAGCTCATATTGGATGAAAGGTTTGCTCGGTGCGCGCGAAGCCATTTTGGCCTTTCTGCATCGCGGTCTTTGGCTTTTTTTTCGCATCAGTCATTGCCAATATTGGGGAGCAAAAACACAGTCTGGGTGACGGACAGGTTGATGTGCCTCAGAAATATCACCAAGGTCCCTGAAATGAAGGGATTATTATACGTTGAGAAATTATTGAAGAGTTTTCTACGATTAAACTAAGGAAAATTTGGATGATTCCGAACAGAAAATCAGCGGTAAAATCTACTTCTTGTAAAATGTATCCGATGGCACACCAATAACGAGTCCACGATTTAGTAATAATGTTATGAAATGCTTAAACCTTTTATAGGATTCTTTGTGATTTTTGAGCGACTTGTTAAAGTGAATAAAAAATATAAAAAAAAATTTGAAAATTACTCTTCTATGATTTATCAATACCTCCACTTACTTATAATGAGATTACCACGTGTATTTTAATCAATGCATAATGGGTGCCAGCCGGCAGGTAATCTATTAGAATTTCAGAGAATCGTTAATGGAGGAAATGAAGTTGCCTCAATTGAACGATGACTAAAAACTCGTTATGGAAATTGAGTTTGTGAGAAGGCGGCTTGGAATGAGCGGACGGCCGTGGCTGCGTCCGGTTTTCTTGGTGATTCGCAACTCAAAATAGAATTTGTACAGAATGTATCACTGCTTTTAGATTTGCATACACAGTCGGCACTAATATACAGTCTGCTGGGCTGCACAGTGTACAGCTCTGTGTACAATGTACACCGTACACGCAAAGCTTATCGTCGCAACAGCGGCGGCCAACCATCCGCCACTCATAATTAGCAAGTCGATGGCGTTCAGAAAAATGAATGTGTCATAATGTTCAAATAGTGATGCCATTTCCGCTCGTTGAGCTCAAAGGTTATTTTTCAGGTCAAATTGGAGATGGATGACCCACACCAGAGGAAAAAGTGCATCGAAATTCGGACATAGTCTCACTCATTCACTGAGTGACGCAAGGATCTCACCATGAAAAGCATGTTCATAAATACGTACGAGGCTCCGTAAAACAAAAAGAAGCAGGCAAGAAAAAAAAATACCTTGAAAAAATTGCGAGGTGAATGCAAATCAGGAAATTAAAATTATTATATTTATCGCGAGATAATTAGTTCTGCCGAATGATAGGTGAATGGTTACGAGGCAAACGCAGGCAAAATGTTATAATAATGATGAATTCCCATACAAAATTCATGCAGGAAGTAACGACGAGAAAGTTAAATGTCAGCAAAAATAGCTGCTGGTCCATTAAATAAATTCTGCGAGGTTCAGTTAGCAACTTCAATATAAAAAATTAAAACAAACTCAATCAATATCGGGCACATACAATTACTATTGAAACACTCAATCCACATTTCATCCGTCATATTTAGGAAGATACAATTTCATGATCTATCAGAGATACCGCAATATAATTTCTGATAATTTAGAGATTTTTTATTTCAGAAACTCCTACATTCAAATTTTGAGCAAGAATCTCCATTAAAAAACTTGCGTCCAGAGCAACCTTGTCATAAATATTCATCATATCCTGGACTGTCAGGAGAACCTGGTGATTTGGCCTGGTAAAATTGTATCAGTGATACAATAGAGTACCGTGCATGCCACCGTCGTGATACAACAGAGTACCGTGCATGCCTCCATCAGTGATACAATAGAGTACCGTGCATGCCTCCATCAGTGATACAATAGAGTACCGTGCATGCCTCCATCAGTGATAAATGCCTAGGAATTCTTTGGTCGAGTCTCATGAAATATAGAAACATGTCCAGACTTTCTTAAATTTTCAACTAAATGCCTAGGAATTCTTTAGCTGAGTCTCGTGCCATTCCGAACATATCAAGACTTTTGTGGATGTTTTCACTAGACCCTGGGAAGTTTCTAGCAGGAATCTGTCTCTCCATGCCCCGCCAGCAGCAAACAAACTGCGCATGCTTCGTCAAGCGCACGCACTGCTTGCTCATTAGACTCCTTCAGGAACGAAGGATTCTAAAATCCATAAGATGATCACAGGTTACGGGGAACGAAGGATTCCAGAATCCCTGAGAAGTCAAATTACGTGAAGGCCTTCGTGGAACTCCATTATACAGAGCGCAGCTGCATGATGAGGTGAACATCGTCTGTCTCAAGGACTTGTCAGTGATGCTTTGAGTTGACTTCTAATTATCTGAATTTGTGTATTGTGTTGTATTGAATAAATTCCCGGTTGCTGGTCAGTATGTAACAGTATCAGCAGGTGAAAATTGTTAATATTTTGAAAATTAATGGGATGATATTGGCTATACTGTCGTATACCCTCAGCATGAGCAGAGAGCGGACGTAGCCTTGGTATATACGTCCTCATGTCGGGCTAACCTGGGTCCGGATGACCCACATTTACTCATTTCTCTGATCGAGTGTGATGTTTGGCAGGTAAAGTCTCATACTGAAAGCTCCATACATTCTTCTCGCACTATTCACTAAAGCTTTAATAATATCCAATGAATATCAAATTGTAAGCGCGACGGTGACATCCGAACGCTCTTATACTTCAGCGCCAGGCAGACAACCAAACTTTGGCCGTGCAGGGAAGTGAACTTGGTATTCTTGACACTTTATTGATAACTAAAGCACTGGTGGATACTGATGATGCAGATGTAAATATAAAAGCATGAATAAAAAAATGAACCCGGCGAATGGCACGCACTGAACCTATTGTTCGTGTTAGTGAACTAATAGGATTCTGTTAACAAAAATAGCTAACTTAACAAGATGTGGCATTAATACTTAACTATAGTTATTCCTAACAAAATAATTTTTACTAATAAATATTTATTATTTCTCGAATATCATAACAAAATTTATGAATATCCCAGAGAAAATTAGTCACATAAGTTACACCACGAGTGCAGTGCAAGCTGCTTCATGACTGCCGGAATAGAAAGTGACGTGTATCGAAATATAGCGATCAGCAGCATGTTCTCTAGATGAAAATGCTAGTGATACCAAAAGATAAAGCAGTACGAAAAAAATGAGAACAAATTTAATTGAAAAACATAAGAAATAACAGTTTGAATGATCGCAAAAAAATTACATGGAAAATTACGGTACAATAAAATACTTTAAAAAACTTTTAAAAAAAACACGTTTTTCTTTTGGACTAAAAAGTAGAAAATAAATTATGGCTTGCCCCAAAAAACGTGTGTCGGGAAGCCATAATTTATTTTCTACTTTTTAGTCCAAAAGAAAAACGTGTTTTTTTAAAAAGTTTTTTAAAGTATTTTATTTTCTCCTTTTTAGTCCGTTGCTACACATGAAAAACGTGGTTTTTAAAAAGTTCGATGCGTATCGATGATACGCAGCGTCAGCGCATGCTCGTCTATAACGTCAGCGCCCGCACGTCATACTATATAAATATAGTATATATATACTTTACTCAATTAAGCTAATTTAGGTCTCTAATTGCTAGTTTTTATGATTGTATCTGAAATTGTTAGGCGAAAATAGCCTGCATACCGAATTTCAGATCTCTAGAGCAATCAGAAGTGGGCTAATTTTCGTTGTCAATATTAACAACAAACAAACAAACAAACAAACAAACAAACAAACAAACGCGAAGCTAAGCTAAGAAAAACGTGTTAAAAATTAGTGACGCATGAGTCGCGGCTACATCTTGATCATAAGCAAGGGAAAATAATGAAGGCACCACAAATCGAAGGAAATTACATGGCCACAAGAAGTAACGAAATATAACACTTCATAAAGAATAAAAACACCAAAACACGTTACATAACCACGAGAAATAGTGAAACATAACAAGGCACAAAAAAATAGCATTAACTAGTCTATACATAACTGGTAATGCATTTACCGCCTTCGAAGGTTGGATAGAACTTAATCTCAGAAGGCTAGAGGTATAAAAAATTGCTTCATGAACTGATCAAAAGTATTGAAAATGTTAGACGCGTGTAAAAACATGTCTCGAAGCCGAACGCACGCGATTGACAGTGCAATCACTGAGAGCGATAACCGGAATGTAATCCATGCGTGTCAAGCATGTTCAGAAATTGCCAAGCTTCGCTCGCTTGAAGATTGCGACTCTCAGACGGCAATGAAATTCTATGCATCGCGTCTCATAGCAAGCACGGCAAGAACTGTCAAGGGCTTGGCGATCAATGTAATTTTGGAACTATAGGCAGAACAAAGACTCGAAAGAAAAATACTTACTGACGCTGAACGCATTTCGTCAGACGATAATATAACTTTTGCAAAGGAAAATTTGTTGTGCGCGAGAATATTTACCGAAATCTATCAAGTGCCGGAATAATTTTTTAAACAGTCCATAGAACTTCAAAAACATAACAGATAACTTTGCCCTTCTTTAAAAACGCACTAAAATTGTACAAAACTATAATATTACCATAAAAATATCACTTCATATATATACTTTGCTCTCTGCCGCCCCAGGAGCAGTGCAGGCTTCATTCGTTTCAGCATTGCGATATCAAAAGAAGCATAAAAATATTAGCCTACTTCGGTCCAACAAAACATATTAAATATTTTTACTACAGTTATTTTTTCAAGTGATAAAAACTTGAATTTCTGAGCAAGTATGTAATTTTTCATCGCGTTTTTTTATGCCAAAGACATCAAAATCGCCTTGCTCTAAATCTGCATGCTTCATCATCTCTAATTTTGAGCGACAGACGTATAATTAAGTTTTGGGTAATAAACGCTTGAAAGAGATACTTCTGGAAAATTTTTAACCTAATATAAGGAATGATTTCGGCAAATTGTAACGAAACTTTCATTTAGCGAAGTGAATCTGACCAACTCGCGGCTTCAGTGATGGAAATGCAGGACGAAATGAAACGCATCGAACATAAGGAAATTTATTAAACCGCCACCGGCGCAACAATGAAGATTGTAATCTAGTATAATGTCCCTGACTATTTAACTTGTTTATTTTGTATTATCGTTTATTTTAATCCATCTTACTCCACACACCTCCTACTTATTTCCTGTTCACGTCTAAGTATTAATCGTCCACGTAACAATCTCAGCCATGCATGTACGTTGGTCTGTAGCACACAGATTGATTATTGTGCTCATGTTAGTCTGTAGTACATGAAGTTGATTAATGTGCTCATGAAGCTTCAACGTAAAGATTTGCTGGTCATTTTGAGTGATTTATACAATCTTTATGGCATTTCTTAATCAATTAAACACGGAGTTGTCATTGCGTCACTGTTTATACAGGCAAAAACTGTTACGCAATATTTCCTATAATAATTCAAGTTTAAGCAGGACTTTGAAATTCTAGGCATGAACTCATTCTAATGACGCACATTTTATTCATATTGAGTCGCGTATATCTTCTGATCAACGCCAAGTTTGGAACTCATTAGTCGCTTTATGTATAAGAAAAGAGCGTCCTTGTTTACAATAATCAATTCATTTATCTGAATGTTTTAATTGATGTAGCACGAATCAACTACTCTAGATATATTCCTAGCCAGGCTCAACCTGATAGATCGGTGATTTAGGCATAGGTAAGACAGTCTTAAATTTATCAATCGAATAAAACTATACTTTAATCAGTTAAAACTTAATCCAAGTCAGAAAAAATAGATCTATTGTTCACAATCCTTGTTATCTGACGATTAGTTCTTATTCATAATCCGTCAAAGGAAGAAAATAAATATTCTCAATGGCTCCTCTGTACCCTCGGCGTGAGCGTGAGAGCCACGGGCCGAATGGGGGCGAGGAACAAGTAGTTTCCCAGTGCGATGTCGCCGTGAGATTTAACATCGAAGCTTTTCAGAATCTGTAGAGCAGGATTGATTAAAGATTAAAGTTAGACAGGATATAATAGTACGAGTAGCAGAGGTGGGCAGTAGCGCGCTACATGTAGCGGTAGCGGTAGCGGCTCTACATTTAAGGTAATGTAGCGGTAGCGGTAGCGCCCGCTACATATTTAAGTAGCGATACGAGGTTTTGCCGCTACAGCGCTACCGCTACATTTATAGATAAAGCCTTTAGATTTTTTGTGGGCTACCCTCCCACAAAACTTTTTTGTTTACAGATGGATCGTTTTGAAACTTGGTACACTTATGTAAAACAGAAATCTAAGACCTTTTTGTTCATGTAAATTTAAAAAAATGAAAGAAAACGTGGAATTAGTAGAAAACGGCAAATAAGGGGTACTCCAAAAAAGTTTATAACTTCTGCAAATCACATGCTACAATGTCGAGACACATATCATTCGATTTGTAACAACAATATCTAGCGACTGTAGAACCCCGATTCTTTATTTTCCTCATCGTTTTTTTTCGGTTCTAGAGTCGCTAGGTATTGTTACATGGTATGTCTCAATGAGAGACATACATGGTATGTCTCTCATTGCCGTAGCTTGAAAACTGTTGGAGTTACGATTTTTCTAAGATGGCGTTTTTTGGATTTTTAAATTGTTCAGGGGAGCCAAATAAAGTAAAATTCATTGAAAACAGAAGAATATGCCCAAAATATGCCCAAAAAGTCTTGATATTGTAGCCCAAGCTTTCCCATTGCCAATTATTTGCATTCAATGTACCAGCACGCGTCTTTAGACCTATTTATATTCAATTTAACGTGAATAATAGGCTATAAATAGGACTTTTTAAATATAAATATATATATAAATATTTATTTTACATAAATTTTCAACTGCATTACGCAAAAACTATTGCATGAACATCCATGGTAGTAGCTTTGGTAAACGCGTCTCGTTTGTAGCTTTCAAACGAGTGCAAACACTTTGTAATTAACGAGAGTAATGATCTATATATACAGATTTAATTCAAATAAATCTTTGTACATATTGTTAAAAAATGTTCATATATATATTTTTAAAATTGTCTTACGCAAAGATTATAGCACGCACAGACATACGGTAAACTGCGTTAGACGCGCCTTTTCAGCAGCTACAAAATGAGTCAAGAAAACGGTAAAGCCAAAATTTCCTATTTTTAGAGTAGCCGGTCCCCTTTATAGTATTAAATATTATTTAAAAACCAGCATGATACACACATAATATAAATTGCAGAATAAAACTGTACGAAAGATTTCGGTGTAATGTTGTCAACCTCAGCCTGTTACTAGTGTCAACATGTTAGTTGTTACTTGTTAAGTTGTTACCGTACCACTTTCAGGTATTTTTCCATCTTTCAGTTTGCTTACAGTTATTTTTACACAGTTATTTTTATGTTTCACCTTCCCTACATGGATGTCTACTTTAATCTACCAATCTCAAAAATAATCCACATATATATACAAAAAAAGACTGATTTTTTATGTATATTTGGATAATTTCTTAGATTGGTAGATTAAAGTTCACATCCATGTAGGGAAGGTAAAAATAAAAATAACTGTAACTTTTATTTACTGTATATAATCCTGGGGTAACCCATACTTGTTCGGTTAGGTTAATTGCGATAAAGTTGCATTGATATGTTTTAAAAATGTTTTTATTATTATTAAATGTTAATGAGTAAATCCCATTAGCAGAACAATAAATATTTAGAGATTTCCAATAATTTTGGCCATTGTAGCGGCTAATGCGCTGCATTTTACTGTAGCGGTAGCGGTAGCGCCCGTTACAATCTAGTGAGTGTAGCGGTAGCGGTAGCGCCCGCTACATTTAGAGCATGTAGCGGTAGCGGTAGCGCCCGCTACATTTAGAGCATGTAGCGGTAGCGGTAGCGCCCGCTACATTTAGAGCATGTAGCGGTAGCGGTAGCGCCGCTACATTTCCAAGTAGCGCTGCCCAGCTCTGACGAGTAGGACGAGGTACGTTGACTGCGCGAATGCGTAAAGTTTACTTTAATTTACTTAAATTACTTTCATGCAAGTTATAATACAGTGTAATATCTGCACAATTAAGAACCTGATCTCCAATGACTTGGTCTAGATGTAAACGAACATTTCGACTCTGTAGAGATCTCTAACAAATAGGTCCGACCCTTAATGATAATAACGAGGTCTTGTCAATCTCGTCGCTGTCAGTCAAATCTGTATCCTGTTCGCTGTAGAATATCGACCTATGAATTCGTGCCTTCCTTATATTGTCCAAAAGCAACCTAGTATTCCGATGATTCTTGTTCAAGTTTTCTATTTGCGATATCTGCTTCATGGTGACTTTCACGTTACTGCTATTAAATTTGCAATATTAATTATTCTCACGTTAAAATTAAAGCTTCTTCCTCTTGATTTTGTTACACAGGCCACTAACTTAATTTATTCAGCAAAGTTTTTGTACCGAATCATTCTTCTTCCTCGGATCAGTTTTTATGAGGACTCGGGTATTCACCACCCGCCTCAAGTGTATCGAATCATCACCCAAAAACTCAAAATTTTCTTTAAATAGTTTTCTGTAGGCGTTTTCTCGAAATAAATTATCATGGCTAACTTCGTTAAAATTGAAGGCACGCTCAAATTAGCTCCTTAAAACTCAACATCAAATACATAATATAAATTGGCGTTAAACTAATATTCTATTAGCTCAAAGATGATTTAATATCTATATGTATATAAAGTAACTTGAAGAAATAATTTGCAGTACAAATTTTTTAAAATTAATTATAATAAAATTATTGTGAACGCGATGCCTCAATTACCATCCAAATTAGATGTTTTGATGTAGAAATGTGAACGAAATTGAACCTCGTTGATATGACAGCACAAAAAGTGGAGACATTCAGCGGCCAACTTCTCACTTATAAAGCCATTATATTTTATAATTCTCGAAATTCTGATTCGCCCGTGCATGACTGTGCACTTTTCTAGGCGAACGCCACCGACTTTTTGAAACTAATCCATTGAATTACATGTGACAAAAAACAGTGTGTAAATTGAAGGAATCAAAATGATACTAGAATATTTTTAATTTATGCATGCGGTTAATATACGTCTTTCCAAATCACCTTCTATTATAAAATTTGAAATGAATTTCATTTTATATATATCATGTTACTATTTACAACTTCGAGTAGACTTCGATTATACAGTTTTATTATTTATAACGTTAGTATTGAATAGAATTATAATTAATAATTTTAATATAATTTTTACTACAATCATACAATTCTATTACACTAAAATCATACCAACTAACACATCAGGCTAGTGTACCTAACTGCAACTCACGTTCACCAGCGCCGCGTATATTTCGTACTCCGCCAAGCGCTTGCCCAGGCACATCCGCGCCCCGAACCCGAACGGCTTCACCAAAAATTTATTTGCTTTGGCTTCGCGTCGAAAAATTGCAAACTTTTCGTCTGTGAAAAAATACAATACTAATGAAATAAGAAATTACATGAATATTACGAGAATTATTTTTTCTATATGGTGTGTATTGTGGCCACGGATTATTAGACGAGGGCGAATGTTCTGTATATATAGACTTGAACCAGAAAATTTAAAGAAAAAGCCCCGCAATTTCACGATATCCTCATCAAAAACGTGTAATTTTGCCTCTATTTGGTTTGAATTCCTCAGCAAACTTTCTATTCAAACAAAATAATACAGAAAATATGAAATAAATTAAATAAAACTTAAACAACGTCTATTACGAGTTAATCTCGCTGGAATAACGTTAAATCAGCATTATTTCACGGTGACATGCCTGATGGGTCTTTACTTACCTCCGCCCTGACGTTCGGACAGCCAGCGCTCAGGAATGAACTGCAGAGGGCGGCTGAAGTTGCGCTCGTCGCGGCAACTGGCGCGGGTTTTGGCGATCAGAGGGATCTGAAATGTTGATTATTGCGGGAATATGGTAATAATTGCCCCCAATTAATGAGAGTAAAATTATATTAAGTTATAATATATTATATTATTATATATTATATTATATTAATTATATTATATTATAGTATAATAAAATTTATTGAGCTTTATTTCACAAACGGCAGCATTGGGCAAAAATTTAAAGCGGACGAAAATAGCAGTTCAGGGGAAAATGTAATATTGCGGGAAATGTTAGTTTTGCATTTATCTGTTAGTCCGAAATAAGTTTGTTCAGAAAATATAAAATAGATTAATATATAATATTAAAAGATTATTATATTATAATGATATAATATTATAACTATCTTTGATAATAGTCCAACACATGATGCATGGACTACAGGCAAGTGATATCCGTGGTTAAACTGCCTTTAAAATATTATTGCTTCAAGATATTTCGACGCTCAGTGCATCAGAAAAAAGGAAATTTAAGCATTTTTTTTATTTCAGTTAAGGATAGCTTTGGGAATCTAATCCTTTTGATTTGATAAAATATATTAAAAATGGTCTGAGATCAAACAATTAATAAACACTGGAGAGTATCAGGGAATATCGTCGAAACTGAGAAGCAGCGAACAGAAAACCAAGAAAATTTTATTGAACCTTTTAGATAATTAAAAACGAACACTCAAAGAAATGGGTGAGATTTATTCAAATCGCGATTCACTTCTTGCCCTAGTGTGAGTCATCCAGACCCAATTTTGCACGGCAAAAGGGGCATTTCAGTGTTACGTGCAGAAAGAAGTTGAGTAATTGGACAATTAATGTGACCCATGAATTTGTCTGAGTGAAGGAACTATCAGAACACCCGTGGGGACTCACGTGTGGGGGGATTTTGTACCCCGACAGCTCGACCTCCTGGGGCAAGATCCTGATCACGCTGGGGATGATGGGTGTCAGCCTGCAACAATTCTCAGAGAAATTAGCAAAACTTTGTCCGATTAACAATGCCATTTTTGCACTTGTGTGGGGCATCTTGACTCAGTTTTGCCTGGCAAAAGGTTTGTCACCGATACGCGGTACAAATGTTACAATATGAACAGCGTGACCCATTTATTATACTGAGGAAAATTCATTTATACACAGGCAACGCTGTAATGAAGTGTTGCTGCAAATTTCCCACTACTGTATGTCAGACTACGAAGTTTAAGTAGGACCGACTCTGACGTCGGTGTTAAATTGATTATAGCCGTCAGATACTATGCCGATCCCGACTTGCGTCCTGGTTCCTCTCTTATAGGATTTTGACTCATACGCCAGGGTAAGTTGCTGCTTTTGTGGTGAAATTTAGATTGGAATACTTGATGGAATATCGTGATTATTGTGTATATAACGACTTGTCATGCGTAGATATTTACTTTCTGTTTTCTGTTGTAGGATCGTGCGTTTTCTCAGATCTCAATGCTCCAGCTCTCTCCTCGCATTTTGCTCTCATCGCACTTTAACTTCCTCCGCATTTAACTTGTTAGTTCGTTTAATTCATATGCCGCACCTGTTTGATTTGTTTAGTTTCGATTTGCCGTTTATCTTTAATAAATAATTTTAAGAAAGTCTGTTTGAATAACTATCCGCTCAGTCCAAGCTCTTGCTGATAAAACCAATAGGGAAGTTGAATTTAATTTCCGGTCATTGGTGGACGTGACAATTAGACCATCCGAACTTTTGAGGTGACGCGATTAATTAGCTATTATTCAAGATTAGTTCGTCACAAACGCTCATGTATTTACCTTCGTATCACTCAACAGCTGCATAATTAGATTATACTGAAGAACAGATATTTTCGTTACCTCCTTTCGTCTTCAACTTGAGCAATAGACATTTTAGTTCCCCTTTCGTCTTCAACTTGAAAAATGGACATTTTAGTTATCTTCTTTCGTTTCTTTTTCTTTCACCTTACTCATGCATGGAATTATGACGAGCCAGCCTGAAACTGAACTCACTTTTCAGCAGTGTGCATGAATGATTTCGCCAATAAATTTTATTCTCAAAATCGAGTAAAGATGTCAAAAATTCACTTTTAAGAACTTCCGTCCTTTTGAGTGATTTCCGTTATAAATCGACGAAATAACGGTGCAGAAGTACACGTTCTGTACAAATCTGATTAAACGGTGGGCAAAATTTTAATTCGAAATTAAAATAAATAAATAAAAATTCATTGTTGGTTTGCTATATATAATTTAGTGAAGGTAACCAATTCATCAAAGAACCTATAGATGCGTTCCTAAAGGAATTAAATTAATGCCAGTGAATATAATCCGATTTCTCTGCAATGAAATATTAAAAGCCAACTCCGTCACACTAGGCGAAGAACACAAGGAATCCGACACGAGATTGGTTAAAATTAATACCGATAGACAAGATTATTATTATTATTATTATTATAACCTGTAGCCCTCCATGACGACCGCCCTGAGGTAGGGCGAGGCGTCCACCAGGTCCTGGGTGAGCTCGCCGTCAGTAGCGCCGTGCACCTCGTCTACCTCCTGCTGCAGGCGCCTCACCACCGCCGGCTCCTGACCAAGGCGGTGCAGCAGCAGCACTAAGCTTGATGCCGTCTGGGTAATTAAAATATCATTTAATACTTATTAAGTTTGTCACTAAATAATATTTTTTACATTGATTAGCATATTTACCCGGATTCACGAATAATTATTTGTATATATTAAGACATTTAATACATTTTGCATTGGCAGAGTTACCGACACTCTGTATTAATACCCTTCGTGCTTGCAGAGTTACGGACACTCTGTATTAATACCCTTCGTACTTACAGAGTTACCGACACTCTGTATTAATACCCTTCGTGCTTGCAGAGTTACGGACACTCTGTATTAATACCCTTCGTACTTACATAGTTACCGACACTCTGTATTAATACCCTTCGTACTTACAAAGCTACCGACACTGTTCTTTTGTCAACTCCAAACAGTCTGCATCAATGAAATTTTCATCTACTGTTACATAATTGAAGATTTCCAAGAACTCAGGCCTGAAAATATTTGTTTTGCATGGTGCAGTTTGCTTATGATAAGATTATTATTTATTTTAAATAAATCTCAATTGCACGATGTACACAACTTAAATACTAATTCGTAAATGAGCGTGTAAATGCAAATAAATTGTACATTACACTATTTTTCAGGCACTTGGTATTAGGCATAGCTCACAATCGTGGTATTAAGAAACAGTGAACTACCAATCATTACAGTTGAACATAGGCTGTCACATTTTATTTTACTCACGGTGGTCACGCCGGCCGAAAACGAGTCGATGATGATGGTGTTAGCGTCTCTAGAATCCAAGCCGTCGATGAGGCTGAATTTTTCTAGAATAGTCGAGGCAGGACAAGTGGTGGTGGCCCCCTTATTTTCCAGGAGCCGAGACCGCGCAGCCGCAATGTGCTTTGAGCCCAGGCTGAGGGGTAACGCTCGTAATTTTAACAGGGCCTATACTTTTAAAAAAAGTTAAGAGATTGTAAGTTCATCAGCCAATCATTGAGGGCCTTCCAAGCAAAATCTGACAATCATAGAAAAGAAAATAGAGCGTAAGTACTTACGTCCACTTAGCGAGTTTTGAACGTATGGCCCCTGATCTTAAATTGAAAATATATATATCGACTATTTATTGCTGGGTCTCATTGGAATAAGAATATTACCCTGTATTGTCTGCATGTCTAAGAGAGGTGCTTTAACACTCCAGTCACCTCTCCCTTACCATAGAAAAAAAATTATCTTCAGGGGTTAATTTTCATTGGTTTAGGGCAGCTAGTCATTAACACAAGATCATCCGAATGATAGAATGTTATATTCCCCTAAATATTGACCATTGATTATTGATGCCGGGCAATGTTCAATAATTCTTCCTCCAGTTTCCCGACAAATGGATGAAAAAAAGTTGTATGTATCAATGCTTTCATATCTGATAAATCAGAACAGTCAGTACCAGTTGCCCGTTATCTACACAAAAATATATTGTATTAATACATTATTCAACTATTGTTAAAAAAATTTAACGAATGTGCTTGAACTGAACTTATTTTATAGCAGCCTACTACAACATAGTATGTGCAGCGTAACTATGTACCGGTACACAGAACTAAGTGGCGGTACACAGAACTAAGTGGCGGTACACAGAACTAAGTACCGGTACACAGAACTAAGTGCAGGTACACAGAACCAAGTGGCGGTACACAGAACTAAGTACCGGTACACAGAACTAAGTGGCGGNAGAACCAAGTGCCGGTACACAGAACCAAGTGGCGGTACACAGAACCAAGTGGCGGTACACAGAACTAAGTGGCGGTACACAGAACTAAGTGCCGGTACTCAGAAAGTGATACGATGATTCGACACATTTATCAGGTTTATTGATGTTGAGTTTCTGCACATAAAGACACGACAATTTTGTAATAGGAGAAAAACAGGTTAACGCGATATTCAATAATATGGTTCAAGAATATTACATACAAAATAAATACATTAAACTAAATTACCGGTTCCTCCTAAATTACCCCAGTTCCTCATCGGAGGAACTGGGGTAAATTTTGAATAGGTAATAACTTAAGGAAACGAATAGCGAATTCAAAGGTTACGTAATGCGTATTGTCTTAGGTCTATAAGCTTTCTGTCTACTGAATGACATTGGCTATTATTAGAACCTATTAACTTCATATTACAGCATTAAGGGATGGAATCAGTTGTACACGAGAAGCCTCAACAGTGCAGGTACACAGAAACAATACATGCCTGTATACGGCGTCATCCACGGCCGCAAATTTCCTGTATTTTGGGAACATTTTGGGGCACATTTTCCAGGCGTTGCCGCTGAGGCGGAGGTCGGCCATCAGCTGGAACTGATGGAGGCTCAGGGAGGACAGCGCCAGAGCGTCTGGGGGAGGCTCGCTTCTCAGGGCACCGAGCTCTACACCCAAAGCTGATCGCCATATGACTGCGTACAATGCGCATGTTAATTGTTATGATTTTCTTCAATTACACTAAACATGCCAACGAATGCATTGTACTACGTACATGTGATTTTCAGTGCCGTCATGAACGTTCGCGCAAAACTCGACGATAAAATGTATTTTCCGTATATATTTTGCATTGTTTAGATTTAAAATAGAAGTATATCGAACCAATATCTAATTAATTCTTTAGCTTCCATCTAATAACCTCACTGCATTGCAGGGATAACCATCATAATGAACTGCAATAACAAGTTCTCATTCTAGAACAATCAGAACATTAACTCTCAGCTTCGTATTAACAATGGTTTTATAATATATACTGTTTGATACAAGAACTATTGAAGGTTTGTTATATTTTTGGAGCAGAAGTTAATTTCTATCAACACCGTAGTAATCGATGCGTTGATAATCTATAATATTAGGTCTATAATCAATTAATCTTCAATTATCAGTGTTGATAATCTATAATATTATAACTAAAATCAATTAATCATCAGTTATCGTTGCACAGCAATAGCGAGTGCTCACCTTCAGCACCATAGCGCACCATGACCTCGTTGAGGTCAGGTGCAGTGCTCACCTTCAGCACCATAGCGCACCATGACCTCGTTGAGGTCAGGTGCAGTGCTCACCTTCAGCACCATAGCGCACCATGACCTCGTTGAGGTCAGGCACCACAAAAGGGCCGCCACCCGCCCAAGGGCGCCGCCCCGACGCCCGCATGAGAGCGTCCATGAGCTGCGCCGCTGCGAGGTTCACCTGCGTCAGCAGGAACAGACTTTTGTTCGGTCTCAGGAAAACTGGACCCACTTTTTGGCGTAGATTGTACCAATCCTCGTCCAATCTGTGGAATATTCGCCCAATTATGACATGATAATCAGGGTAGATTGTTCCAATCTTCGTCCAATCTGTTGAATATTCGCTCTGTCATTACATGACAATCGGGGTGGATTGTACTAATCCTTATCAAATCTGTTGAATATTCGCCCAATTATATGACAATCAGGGTGGATTGTACCAATCCGCGTACAATCTATTGGATATTCGCTATTCATGACATGACAATCAGGCTAAACTTCCATCGTAACCCACGCGCGTCTTTGACAAGATGTCAATCGACTTAACATTTTTTGCATATTATATTATTAAGAAAGAAAAATTCTTTAAAATTTCTACCATTAGTTCGAGTCGTCAAATAAGCATTAAATTTTGTCTCTAAAGTAAATCACAGATTTAGAGTCGAACAGGAATCAAATTGACATCATTCACGAATTTAATGTTTAAACATGTGAAACAAATCGATTAATCCAACGACAATGTCCTCCTATCGAGAAGCAGACATGCGGCAAATATCAGCGAGTTGCCCAACATGACTCACGATTCAGCTAGACCAACAGTAGGATAAATATCAGGGTTTTGTCTTCTTTTCCACACCAAGGCATCGTTGACGATCCTGTTCGGCCGCGAGCCTTCATTCCTGAACGTTTTTTCAATGTCTTGGGGGCAGTGAAGGCTGACTAGTGTAGTGCCCCCGCGACGCTCCTTGTAGATAGGCCCGTACTTGCGATACAAATCTGCATGTCATTAATGGTTTTGTTTGAATATAAGAGAGAAACGCTTGTCTTACAATGATATTCATAAGCGTTAAATTGGTTTGATTCTTTGTTTATTTTCATAACGAGTTTCAAGTTTCATTATCAAAATATTCTAAATGTCTTATTATTATTATCCGAAATTATTCGAGATGTCACCGTAAAAATTCGGAAACTTCTATAAATATAATCAACATGAATCCTATTACAAAATAATAATAATAATGAATGAGTGGATAAAACACATGAAAAAATTCAAAATGAATAGATCGGCTAGAGTTAATCATTCGTTAATTAAAATTCGCTAATTCTCACCGACGTCGGCGACATGGAAAGTGTGTCGGCTGTAGGGCCCGAAGACGGAGTACATCCAAGAGGTGCCGACCAGCGGCAGGCATGGCGGACCAGGGATGTCGTGGAGTGTTCTTATATTATTGATGCACGAGGCGGAGGTGGTGAGTTTGGCATATGTGGTGAGCGGGTGAGAGGGAGTGAGTGGGTGTGATGTGGTGAGTGGGTGTGAGGGGGTGACTGGCTGTGAGGGGGTGAGTGGGTGTGATGTGATGAGTGGGTGTGATGTGATGAGTGGGTGTGATGTGATGAGTGGGTGTGATGTGGTGAGTGAGTGTGATGTGGTGAGTGAGTGTGATGTGATGAGTGGGTGTGATGTGGTGAGTGAGTGTGATGTGGTGAGTGGATGTGAGGGGGTGAGTGGATGTGATGTATTGAGTGGATGTGAAGAGGTGAGTGGACGATAGGTGGTGGGTGGCTGAGATGAGGTAAATGAAAAGTTTGTTGCATGTCTGTTGTTCTTTAAACGAAGTAACATGAAATGTGTCCGATGAATGTGTCTGTAGAACATTTTGTGACGGCTATGAACTGCTTGAGATACCCAGAGTTGGACAGCGAAGTGCAAATGTGAATTTAAATAAATGCTTCTTATTACAGTCAACGTAACTTCAAGTTATAGAACATGGAAAAATTAATTTTCGAAACTTCATAAGTAGTATTCATAACTTAGCCGATTCATAATTATGACTTAGCCGAAAGACAACAGGTTTTATTGTACTGTGGTGTGGGAAAACAGCGAGGAGATTTTAATTAGGAGATTATAGGAACAGCGAGGAGATTAGAAATGAACACTTCTTAGTTGCAAGTGAAGAGAACAACAATGAAGAACATTGAGTACACGCGTACTAGAATATTGAGTACCTACAGTTACTTAAGTATCGAAGCAACTCTGAGACGAATAAGAACTCTATACACCACCACCCATGCACGTGTCACTACACCACAACAGGACCACAATACCTAACATGTCACCATCCACTTGTCACTACATCACAACAGGACCACAATACCTAGCATGTCACCACCCACTTGTCACTACATCACAATTGTCAAGTGTAACATTTGCATACAATGCTATTGTGCGGGGACATCGCATCTCTGGGCTGATGTCTGCAAGCATTCAACTCCCGCACCAGACGATGTGAGAAACGATTGAATCGTTCAATAAATATTACGTATGATTAACACATTCTTAAGTAAATGTGAAAAGAAATTCGGCAAAAGGAACCAAAAAACTATACTCTACATGACACAATGATGAACTAAGCTAGGTATTATGGTAGCTGGTACAAGACAATCTCCAACTGACACGAACATGCATAGTGTGCGGTTAAAGTACAATTACAATAAAGTTATATTATAAAACAACGACTGCAACTTTCTACTTATTCCAATATTCATAGAAGATACAAATTATACAGAAACTAGCAACATTTCGAATTATGCCGCAATAATTCTTGGTGGTAAGAGGAAACATTTTATTCATAAATTGATAACGAATAACAAAATTAGAGACGGTTTTAAAAAAATTGAACACGTGTAGTAGATGTTTTATTTTATGCGTTTACACTTTTTATGTTACGTAATGGAAATTTTCGCAACTCGAATTACTTCCAAGGAGAAGCGAACCCCATGTCCTCCTCCCACGGGGTCTCGCCGCAGACTGACTCTTTCCAGGGAAACTAAAACAAAAAATGTGAATAAATATTTAATATAATAAAGTCAATGATCAAATTCAAAAACAATATTACTGAGTAAAACATAGCTCAATAAGTGACACGGGCAAGAAATTAAAACAAAATATTGCTCGTAGATAACATAATAATAAAAAATTAATGTATTCCTATAACTCATTGTTTTCAATACATCCGATAAAATAATGTACGGAGGATGTATTCTGCGGAATACCTTGCGATTGAAGAAAATTTTATTAAACATTTTATACAGGAAACTGAATGTATGCTTACCTGTATCCTATATATAGAATAAAAATGTGGATGGATTGAATTTACGACATGAATTGATTTTTCTCACGGTAGGAATATATTTATCTCAATATTTGAATTGATTGATCTCGGGACATGAAATTCAAGACTGAGGACCTGCAATATACACTGAATAACTAGAATGTTGTATGAACAATTGCATGAACAATGCATAGAAGGTTGTTCTGAGTTTCAAACTTTATATTGGTTAGCATGAAAATAAATTTATATATTTCTTCCCCCAGGTGACGCAGGATCAGGTTCAGCCGCCGTCATGACGTCACGTGACCTTGACGCCGCGGTCTTCAGAAGTGACATGTGTTTAAACATTTCTGTAACTAAAATCGTTTTCAAAGAGTTCGTAAAGTACTGACCTTCATATTTATTCATTATTATCATTTTCATTTATTCATTATACAGTATATATTCATTGAATATTATCATCCACAAATTTTGAGCTCTGTTAAGTATTAAATAATGCACGCAGAGGAAAATAGTTTGATCAAATAATTTAGAACCATAAAGTCTAATAGTTTATGGGATCATGAGGAAAATTAGTTTTGACATTCAATAATTTGACTACGAACTATACAAGCGAAGAGAGCTTCCATCTCTCATTTCCTTCGTTTTTTTTTACAAATTTAATTTTAAACATATTTTTAACCTTTCGCTCTTTAGGAGTAACGAACTGTGTTTTCACTCTCACTAAAATACCTCTAGTCCCCCAACTATTTGGTGACCTTTCAGCGAAAAGAAATAAGATGACATGGGAATTTCCGCGATCCTTTGAGCTGCACTGGACGAACCCGAGTGACTGGGCTGAAGTAGCCTCGTGATTGGCTGGCGCAAGCAGGTAAGATGGTCCAGGTCTTGGGTTGCCAGCTATAGATTAATTGAAATATATATCTCTAAGATTTATTCGGGGCATCAATTGTTTTGTGTCATTAAAGCCCACGCAATTTGATTATACTGATTTATTTATGTCAGAAATACGATATGTATTTGTTAACTTTGCATGAGAACGAAGCGGTTGCCCGCTCTCTGTTGAAACTCACGGAACGCGCGTCGGTAACACTATGGCCTCTCTCTCACGCCTGGATCGTCCAAGACGGATAGTCGGATACGCTAGTGCCTAGTAGTGCCTTGCCGTCTTGTGTTGAGTGCGTTCGTATGGAGTTTCTACGCGGAGCAGTTGTGAATAATGTGGACAATATTGGTCAGTTAGTGTTAATATTATTGGGGTGCAATCGAATTGGATAAGGATTTCATTATACTTTGCAAAGAAATTCGGGACAAGCAGCGGATGTGAAGTGTGATGATGGAAAGTAGGTTGTGAAGTGAAACTGCGAGTTACGGGATGGTCTCACCAGCCTTCTTGAGGCGTTGGAACGACGCTGAATGCTCAAGTCTGCAATCCTTCCGTGCTTTAATGTTATAAAATTGTTACTAACACTCGACTGACTCGAGTGATGATAAACATTGTTGTCGTGAATAATTAATTTGACTTAATGAATTTCTTTGAATAATTTGAATGCGAATGCGAGGTTAAACTTGGGTCGAGTCAAATTCTACTGACGAGGTCATTAAATCAAGGACATAACTGATGAGATATTTAAAAAAAACTGAGGGGACGGGACAACTGAATTTTTGCTGGTAAAGATTTTGGTAGCAAATATCCGTTAGATGTGTTCCACTTTTACCGTCTTAAGCGCAGCTGCAATACATAACATAGCCATAGGGCCTAAGTAGGCAATTCTAGGATTAAATATTAAAGTTCTAGAATTAAATATTAAAGATACTTGTTAAGATGTGAGCAGTTATACAATATACTCAGACAATGTCGTAACTCCACACGTATATATGGTATACGACAATGGCTTCTTAATTTATAGGTATACACATATTTTGCTGCACCCCGCGCACAACCAATTATCAATATCTGTCGCTAATATGTACTACTATTATTCACATTATATATTTATTAAAGTCCTCTTTGTTTATCGCATTTACCTGGTGAACTGTTAAAATGTAATGGTGGTGGTGACGTGTGGCGATGGTTGTTCAGGTTTCAGGCTTTCAGCTAGATAGGCCTAAGCATTCATTCTACAGGAAACGTTTGATGGAAGTATCAATTACCTTACTAAAACTCGGTCTTGCTAAGAGCCTCCGGAAAGTTCGAGTAAAACCAACTATATCATGTTCAACTGTTCATATATATGTAGAACAACAATCGCGGAATTGCCGATTCTATGGAACCGGCAGCCAGGTGGCCGAATCTGTAGAACCAGAATTTCTATACTATAGGAATATGGGGCTAGGTCAGTCAGCCGAGTTTTTTCAATATTTAAATATAAAGGAACTTTACCGAACTTGACCTAACCTTTTCTAACTCGAACTGTCGATTTATGGTCTAACTCTAACTCTTACGTCCGATTTTCTGAATCGACAACGAAATGCCAATTCTACAGATTCGGCAACTGACTGCAGATTACACAGAATCGGCAATTCCGCGATTTCGGCACGACATATAAAACAGTATAGACACGAGTAATAGTCTTTGTGCTGGGGAACGCACGTCAATGCACTGTCGTCGACTGAACCTAACCTAACCCCTTGCTGTGTAAATGTGTGTGCACCTCTTTAGGCAAAAACGCAAGTACACAAACTATTTTTCATTAAATAAAATGTCTTTTACGATAAATTTCACTTCTTCAATCACAATCCTGGCGACAGTTTCAAGCTTTTCGATATTTCGTCCTCCATGCATTCACGCCCCGCCATTTCTTATGCACATCCGACTAGGAAATCGGCTGCAAGACTCGAGGCAGCCGTAGTTCAATTCTAGAGCAGCGGAAAGACATGTCAACAACCGGTCCCGTCTCTCTGTCAACTCAGTGATTGACGGCTGGCTTTACGATTGTGTCACGTATGTCGCTATAGGGAATCGCAAGCACTTTTAACAGTTTACTTGACAAACACATTCAAGAACTACATAGTTAATTTAAACAAAAACCATGACCTCGTACATTTGGATAAATTTAATTTTTGAGTTAAAGAGACTATATTGTTTCAATTCACTCGACGAATAATATTAATTGACATAAATATTGATATGTACGAAAGCTTGTACTTAGAAATCTTGGGTGAGGTTGTACTACTTGTTGTAGTTCGCTGCTGCGGGTAGCCCCACAAGGACCGCTCGGTTGCGTCATGCGTCGTCTGCTGCAATCCTGCATCCTGAGCTGCGGCTGGCAGATCCGTCTTGCTTACTGTCAATGACACTTGAGTCGCCATGTACTTATTTGAAATAGTGATGTATAGTTGAGTCGCCATTGTACCCGAGTCGCTATACTTGAGTCGCCATTGTACTTGAGTTGCCATTGTACAACTTGAGTCGTCATTGTACTTGAGTCGCCATTGTACTTGAGTCGTCATTGTACTTGAGTCGTCATTGTACTTGAGTCGTCATTGTACTTGAGTCGTCATTGTACTTGAGTCGTCATTGTACTTGAGTCGCCATTGTACTTGAGTCGCAATTGTACTTGAGTCGCCATTGTACTTTTGACTACCATAACAAATAATTTTACATTATATCTAGGGGATAATTGCACTACCATAAAAACTAATATTATTTTATATATCTACATTGCTATCAACTTTGCTGAGCAGGTTTAATCAGTCTTCACAAAATTAAACTCCGTCATGCCAAATGACATCGGCGCAAAGACAATTTTAATTTGTAATGTGTAATTTGTGATGTGGACGGTCGACGTGACATTACCAGAACATTTCTTATTTTAAATTAATATAAATTTTGTAGGGATGGCTTTAGTGAACAAAGTGCTGGTCCTATGGGCCTACTTATCTCTGCTGACTGCGGGTATAAATGGTGAGTGGATTTTAAAGTGATATTTCTTGTTCGATTCTAATAACTAATTTGTTACCATAATACTTCAAGTTTATTAAAAATTCTCTGTAGTTTCCGTCCTGATATTCTACCACATTTAGTTATGTCTTCACATTTTTCATACGTACGTTCACTCTGATGCCAATATCTTTGTAAATTTCAATTATGGACTGTACCTTAACTATTTTTAGCGCATTTTCTCATTTATGGAAAAAATGCACTATTGTGCTCGTCATGTCCGTCCGTCTGTCTGTTCGTCCGTGACTTCACGTTTTTGTCGACGAGAAAGTGCGCTCTCTGTCACTCACTGCAGTGAGTACTGAGTTATATTTTTTGAGATTCTAATTATGAAACCATATTATTTAAATACAAGAATTATCAAGGTACTGGCCTCGTGTAGAGGATTACTGGGTCCTTCCGTGGCCAGTAGCACCTATACACGAGGCCACTAGCACGGTTAATAGTGGCGGTTAGTTTTGAAAGTTGTAGGCTGCCACTACTGTTCCTGTGTACAATTATTCCGTCTTATTCCTCTGTAATGTGTTCATTTTTCTCTACAAATTTATTCGTGTTATTGGCTTAAATGATAAGATGTTCTTCCACGTGCTAAGTACAGTTCATCTTATCATTTTCTCATAGGACTTACTTTCATTCTGTTAGGAATTGTTGGACGAGGAACGACGCGAGGATCTAATGGCGGATAACCTGTGTCATCCACCGCATGCAAAACGCGCGCACTAATCCATGTCATCCAAGTCATTCAATACAGCTATGACTGCCCTACCCTATATATCCATGTCCCCCCCTCATAGGCCGCACGCCCCCCACCCTTTCCATGTCCCCCCCACAGGGCGCACGCCCCCCACCCTGTCTCTTATACACATCTAGATGTGTATAAGAGACAGCCCCCCACCCTCTCCATGTCTCCCCCCACAGGGCGCACGCCCCCCACCCTCTCCATGTCTCCTCCCACAGGCCGCACGCCCCCCACCCTCTCCATGTCTCCCCCCACAGGCCGCACGCCCCCCACCCTCTCCATGCCCCGGGACTGGATGGTGGGCGAGCAGGAGCCCGTGGGGGCGGTGGTGGCGAGGATCACCGCCCAGGACGACGAGGGGGACGTCGTCCACTTCAGTGTCGCCCCGCCCAAGTTTGGGGACGACGGGTCGAGCCTCGTCTCCGTGGACCAGGGCGGCGTGGTGCGCGTCGCCAAGTCCCTTCAGGGCCTGGTCAGTTCATCATACTTGGTAGTGCTTATGATCTTCAATTACTGTATGTCTTCTTTTTACTTACGATGATTTGCAAATATACCTAGTGTTTTTTTTACTTGTACTGATTTTCAATTGTCTTCTTTTCAATTGTGATAATTTTCAATTATAGTGTTACTTACTTGCGATGATTTTCATCTGTGATAATTTTTCGTTGCAATGACCTCCATGAATTCTTTAAAGTACAAATAATATAATTATATGCAAATACCACAGTTGGATCACGAGCATTATTTCATTCCTTTCTACTGCTTAAGCCTGTGCGACCATTGTGGGCCGCGTTGGCTTCTTGTGTACACAACAGTTCAGCGTTAGTACCTAGTTCCGCTTCATCAAACAATTGTATCCATGGCTTCATCCATCAAGCCTCGTTCCTTTTTTTTATACTAGTACAAATTTGATTTCCAACTCAAACTAGCAAAAACTAATAATAAATAATAAATAAAAAGTTAAAAACTGTAAAATTTGTCAGCTCAATTTAACAAACGTTCGTTCCTGTTCAGGGCGGCCGGAATTTTTTCGTGGGGATCGTGGCGACGGACGGCGAGTTCACGACACGCAGCGAGACCAGGCTGGAGGTGCAGTCCCCTCATGGCAAGACCCCCCGCGGGGGGTTGTGGGCAGCCCTCAACCCCAACTCATCCCCACCGTTTGGGGCTGCGTTCCCCCCACTGGGAGTGCCTGCAAACCCCGCATTGGGGCTACCAGGAAGGAGACCCACCATACCTATACCTTTCAACGAGCCTGGTGAGGAATATTAATAAAGTTTCTATATTTATTTAAAAGTTTCTCCATTCAATTTTTATTTTCTGGAAACAGAAATATTTGATACGCATATAGATATTTACTGTATATTTATACCTATTGATCTGGCACTGAAATTACTAAAGTATTTGTGTCGAAAGTACAGAAATTTCCGTATTGAAAGTGCAGAAGTATCAGTATTGAGAGTGCATACGTTTCCATGTTGAGAGAATACAGAAGTTTCCGTATTGAAAGTGCAGAAGTATCAGTATTGAGAATACAGAAGTTTCCGTATTGAGAATACAGAAGTTTCCGTATTGAGAATACAGAAGTTTCCGTATTGAGAATACAGAAGTTTCCGTATTGAAAGTACAGAAGTTTCCGTATTGAAAGTGCAGAAGTATGTATTAGACAATAAGCAAAATAACAAGTCAAAGTATTTACTCGCACCGCGAGTGTCAACTTCATTGATTTAATTCCGAACTCCCGTAAATATTGACAAGTTTGAGTAGCTCGGCATGGGCGGGTTGTTGATAGCGCCATGCTTTGGGCAGCATTTTAGGGGATCAAAGCCCGCTACAAGCTGTGAAATTTCTGATCATAAGCATCAGCATGGCCGGGTGGTTAAAACCGGAGAAAGACTAACAATGCCTAATAAAAAAACTGACACCTCTAGAATGTATTATTATTAATACATTAACATTTTAGAGCCGTCCGGGTCGCCGCCTCTTCTGATGTTGCCCACCCCGGCGACGTGGCGGGTGCCTGCATCATCGTCTCTCAACGCCCTCGTGGCCGTGGTCGAGGCGCGCGACCTGAGCGGCGATGACTTCTTCTTCACCATCAAAGATGCCGAGGATCTCCTCACCATCGACCGCAATACAGGAGAAGTCAGAGTCAAGGCCTCCCTGAAGGATAAGGTGTGTCCAACTCGTCATCTATGATCGCTGTATTGCTGGCGTCTCTTCGCGAAGTTCCGTCATTATTGATCGCTTGAAAATGTCCTGAAGCTGCTGCTCTTGATTGAAATTGGTAGAAGTCGGAATTTATAGAAGTAGAAATAGGTCGGAGTAGTAGTAGTAGAGGTCGGAATTTGTAGAAGTAGAAATTGGTGGTACTACAGGTAGAAATATATTTTTAGAGCTTGGTGATGCAGTACCTGATTTGTTTGCGTCACTTCGCGAAATTCCGTCATTATTGATCAATGAAAATGTCATGAAGCCGGTGGTCTTGATTGAAATTAGTAGAGGTTCGAATTGGTAGAAGTAGATATATCTTTTTAGAGCTCAGTGATACAGAACCTGATGCCCGTCAGATGGGAGAGCACTTCGTGCGAGTGGAGGTCTCCAACAGACACGGCACTGCTGACGAGGACGTATTGCTGCACGTCGTCTCTGATGAAACAGACGATGAACCAAGCAGCAAACACACGTCAACTGAAGTGGAACTTGAACCCAGCACCAGACCCACCCTCATCGCCATCATCAACAGTGAGTAAAAGGCTACCGTACCAAATATTCGCAGTATCGCATGCCTTTCTACGTCATTTCGGCCACGCGCGCGCGCCAGAAAACTTGTCTTCTCGCCAGAACCTAAACCTAAAAGGAAAGTATGCGTCTTTATTGAATCATAAGTACCGTAAATTATAACTATATTATTCTGGAATTGAGCTCTGATAATGAAAAAATATAACTTATTCAGTCGTTAATTTGATTATATACTTGCACTTGAATTCTAGGAGTTTCGACCTAATGATGAAGCTGGTTTCCGAAACTTTTATATTGCTAAGTATATGGTTGGCCGGCAGGAGGTACATAAAAAATGGTGTACGTATTTAAAAAAAATAACTATTTTCAATTCAAATGGGTTTAGTTCACACCTGGCTTCTGGCTTCAGGATACAAGAGATAAGATCAAATAATAATAACACAAATGAGAATTCTGCTGAAAGTGCAAGATTAGTGATTATATCTTGATACGCATGTTCACAATTTTGATAATTTTAAATAAAATATTTCAGTATTTTTATAAAGAATATTTTAGTAATTTAAAATCGAATATAAATTTTAAACATCTTGAACATCCATGTGCAGATGGACCGACACCACCAGCCACCACCGTCCGTCCACCGGTGCTGGAGGACAACGTGGAGATGAAGGACACGGCCACCGTGATGACGGTGGCCGTGTCCGCGGCCAGCGTAATGCTCGGCCTCGCGTGCGGGCTGTTGTCCTGGTGCTGCTGCTGCAGGAAACCGGATAAGAAACCGCAGAAAAAGTTATCCTCGAAGGTAAAAGTGGAAATGATTGAGATCAAGTTTCTTTGCCTTTTAAAACTAGTTCTAATTTCTTTAGAAGATATACAGAATTTGAAAATGACTTGAGAAATATTCCTGAAAAAAGCTCTTTCTTTGTTGTTGATATTGAAGGAGTAGACAATTTTCAACTCTCTTAGAATATGATTTATTGAAGCCACTGGAGGAAAGACCAGAAAAAGTTATCCTCGAAGGTTTAAAAGTCGAAACGCCCAACATCAAATTTCTTTGTCTTTGAAAATTAGCTATAAATTCCATATACAGAATGTAAAAATGATAAAAAATATTCCTGCATGAAGAAAGCTCCTTCTTGAAAGCTATAAATATTGAAGGAAAATACAATTTCCAGCTCTCTTAGAATGAGATTTATTGAAGCCACAGAAGGGAAGACGAGAAGTCGCAGGTAAAAAGTTTCACTCTAAGGTAAAAATCGAAATGATCGAGCTCAAGTTCCTGAAAGCCTTCAGTTGTCTTTAGAAATTAGTTATGTTTCTGCAGAACTTTTCGTGGGCTTAAAATTTTCACAAAATCATTCTTTTAAGCTATGAATATTAAAAAAAATAACAATATACAACTCGATTGCCACAAGGTTTATGATTGCCCTATACGTGGAAAACAGCACCTGGGACAGGGATAGCGAGATCACTACAAGCGAACATTCAACTGTATAACCAAACTCTATTGCGACTTGATGCCGTATAGATAATGATAATTTTATCTTGTACTCTTCTATTTATGTATTAAATAATATACCTAATTGATGAATGACTTATTTAGGGCTACGTCCGCCTCTATTTTACTCATGATTGTGGATATGTTTTACATAACCAGGTTTGGATCGGCAATTATATTGAACACAGTCACTTACTCAGCATTGCCCCGTTTTTCTGTGCAACCACTATTTACTGTAGTTAATTTACAACTTAGCAAAGTTAAAGTAGAGTAGTTGAATTTATTTAGCCAAACTAATCTAACTCAATTGTCCTTTTATCTTGTGCTTCTTGTTCACATAAGCGAATTGATCGTTCGATATAGGCATTAAAAGGAAATTTATCCATGCCACAGGAAAGCAGCATGAAATTCGACAAGAAGAGCCTCGAGCTGACGCCGGTTTCGTCCGCATCCAGCAGCCTCAGCAGAATGGAATCCCAAATCCTACCGAGCGCCATCCCTCCGATCCTGCGATTCTGGGAGCGCCGCGCCAGCGAAAACAAATACGAAGATGGTCACATCCCTCCAGCCCCTTCATCCCGAAGCAACAGCACCAAAGATTCAACGTTAACTCTCACGAACGATTCCATAGACGAGTGGGAGTTTCCTAGACACAAACTCAAAGTTTTGGGTATCCTGGGTGAAGGATGCTTCGGCCAAGTTTGGAAATACGAGGCCACGGACCTCAAAGGACCAGACACTGGGAAAACTTTCGTCGCCGTCAAAACCCTCAAAGAATCAGCCGGTTTACAGGAGAAGAAAGATCTTCAGCAGGAGCTCAAAGTTCTTAAAGGCTTGGGCAAGCACCCCAACGTGGTGTCTCTGCTCGCTTGTTGCACCGAGAAAGAACCTACTCTAGTTATACTGGAATATCTTGTGAATGGCAAACTACAATCTTATCTCCGTGAGCGACGCGCGCATATGCCGTACAATAATCTTCATGGAACCTCGGCATCGCTGTCACCTCGAGATTTAACAATTTTTGCCGTTCAGGTTGCCAAAGGAATGGATTATCTGTCCACACATGGCATCGTTCACAGAGATCTCGCGGCCAGAAACGTTCTGGTAGGTGAAGACAAAGTTTGCAAGGTGGCAGACTTTGGATTTGCCCGAGACGTTGCAAACAATCACGTCTACGAGCGCAAAAGTGACGGAAGGCTACCCATCAGATGGATGGCTTTAGAATCATTATACGATAACATATTCACTAGTAAGACGGACGTGTGGAGTTTCGGAATCCTTTTGTGGGAAATAGTTACTTTAGGATCCACCCCGTACCCAGGCATGTCGGCCGAAGAGGTCATGAAGAGAATCAAAAGTGGCTATCGGCTCGAGAAACCAAGCTATTGTAAACGTGAGATGTACAATATCATGTACTATTGTTGGTACGAAGATGCAAAAGATCGGCCGAGTTTTAAGGAACTCGTCAAGTATCTTGAAGGACTTATCACCTCCGAGGTGGACTACATAGAACTGAACAACTTCCCAGAGAGAGCTTACTACAACATTCCCACCGCGGCCGCCAGTGGCGAACTCCTCTAGGCAACACCTCTGCACCGGGATCACTCACTTCATACATTATTAATTTTAAAAGAATAAATACTCCTAAGGAATATGTAATAAATTCAGAAAGAATAACAAATTCTAAAATAATGAATAATAAATTGTATAAGAATAATCAGTAAGAAAGAAAAAATTCTATCGGTGAGATGTTTGCATAGCAAATTTTATAATGACGCAGAATAAGTTAATTTATCCTTTTATTCACTAAATTTCAGTTTCATAGGTTGAATATAAATGAAAAAAATAAGGAAATTATCTTGCTATATCTTGTTCTTGGCGCAATGACAGTTTTCGGTGCTTAAAACTCGATTTATCAATAAACATCTAAAGCTGCCTGCACTGAGAGATACTGAGATATGGATGCACAGTAACTTGAGTCACACTGAGAGAAATGGGCGAGTTTCTGACTCACCCAATGGGTGAGTCAGATTGACTCTTAGACGAATAAATCGCGTCCAAATAGCGATGCACTTTTTTTGATTCACTTCTCCCATTTGTGGGTCCTACTGACCCTTTACATTTATAACCCGCCAATTTTTCTGAGTGTACAGTGAGATGTTTATAATTAATTGTTAGATATTGTACAATATTTTTAATGAAATGAATTGATCTTTCATTCATTCTTCAGCCAAAAATACTTCACTAATCGTGGAAATGGAATCATCAGGTGTGAAATACTCGCGAAGAGAGGAAGTTATGTCGTTAATGAATGTGAATTTTGTTGTAGTGTCTTTTCATAATTCTTCATCGACTCAAAGCGCTATATAATAGCTTAACTATGTTATGTATATTAGATATATTAAATCACTTCAGTGAGTGTAGATACTATGGGTAATTATTGGCCTAGTTCGTCTAATTGACTCGTAATTTTAGAGCATCTCCTTCATAATCATTTAATGTGTCACACTCATCGAGGACTGCCTGCCACCAGCAGTATTTAAATACATATATATAGTATATTTATTTGAATGGCTCACTGCAAGTTAAGATGGAAGTATACTGATGGATATTATAATTATTGTTCGGCGGGACCGCTAGCTCCAAATTTAGAGCTCGTGCACTTGTGCCGCACATTTTTCTTGAGTGTTCCTTCGCCGCTTTAAATTTAATCGCACGATTAGAAATGTCCGTATAAGTTTCTTGTAATCTTCCCGGTTAACCTTTTGTTAATACTAATAATTTGTTATGAGTTACCCCTGAATCTCCAAGTTGTTATTTTGTTACAATAAAAAATGTGGACCAGACTTTTGAGTTTTGCCCTGCGTGTGAAGGATTGCGCGTAGCCGCTCTAGTGAGACACGATGCGTGGACGTACCGAGATCGTGGTGATATCGGGGAGGAAGGTGATGGTGTCCGGAAAGGGTGTGATGGTATAGGGAAATTGGGTGATTGTATCGGGAAGGGTGAAGCTATCAAGAGGGGTGATGGTGTCGGGGAGGGTGATACTATCAAGAGGGGGTGATGGTGTCGGGGAAGGGGGGTGGGGGGTCAAGGAGGGGTGGGTTGTGGTGGTGATTGTATCAAGGGTTACTCACATTCACAACAGTTTATGAAAAGTACGCGTTTACTTCACAGTTCAGAAACAAAACACGTTAACAGTACAAGTGCACTTCACAGAAATCTTTTTAGCCAGGCACCATAGAGTCGATTGCATCGAAGACGCTCTGGGTATTGTAATCCATTTCAGAGAATAACATTTAGCTTGGCCAGGGAAGCTGTGAACTTTTGAATTTGAAAGAAACTTAAAAATTATACACCGAACTTACCCTGTACGACAACATCAAAAATAGTCCGGGTTTCCGCTAAAAATCCATCGAATTAAGTGCATGAAAAACAATTTGTACACAATATGATGTGTCGGTTCTTCTATCCCGGCATGCAAACCATGAAATTTGATTATGTCTATATTATATTATCCTGAGAATCTTTATAATCTCAACAGCGAAATACGAGTCCCGCGTTTGAAAGCAGAGAAAAGTCCACAAAAATTCTTATCTATATAGAAAACGTTTTGAACTCCAGCTCCACCGTCAGTTGTAGAATCTAGAATTCATAAAGTCACAAATTAATAAAATTGAAAGCACAGAACGAAATTAAAAAACTAAATTTTAAAATGATACACAGAACACAGTTCTATTTCTTTATGAATTCTAGATTCTACGAACTGACGATGGAGCTGGGACTCCGAAACGTTTTCTAAAAAGATATGAATTTTTGAGGACTTTTCTTTGCTTTTAAATTTTTTGTTAACTTATTCATGTAATGCAATGCAACCTAACGAATTCTGCTCACACATTAAACTTAAGTCGTCAACAAGAAAATTGTAAAAGGCAACTTGGTCAAGCACAACAAAATATATCTCCTAATCAAAATATATTTACAGACTATTAATTAACAACGAAACCTTAGAGAATTCCCTCACATCACCAGCGATCAACTTAATTAAGCGACGAATTTACGAAATATTCAAAATCACGCCCAAAACATCGTTTAATAATCAACAAAAACAATCATTATATACTGCACATGTTTTTATAATGTAGCAATTCCAAAGCAATGTGTGCTATGTTACTGTTAAATAAATATCACACATATAATAATGGAATAATCAAGACAAAATATTTACGTACATGATAATCGAATTGACACTATAAATACTTCCCTGAAAAAGAATAAGTTCGTAACGGACCAAAAATTCTTACCAGATAATTTGTATATCTTTTCTAAGACGACAAAAAAGCAGGTAAAAAGCTTATAATACAATACGGAAAAGTCGCCTTAAATGCAATCCAATTAAGTAATTACTAATCACAACAATAAATGCGAAGAATGATCTGTATTAAATGTTAATGAAGAACTTGCATCTGATTTTGGTTGATAAGCAACGCAATCCCATGCGATGGAGACATGATGTAGGTAATGATGAAACCAATTTTTGCCGCGTATAATACTCCTAGTTTTAAACTTGCTAAATTTTTGGTACCGGTTTTAAACTGTCTTACGACTAATCAGTATACTGTTGATAAACTGTTGATAATTCTTACATGTTTGTGAATCGCTTGAAACATTTTACTGACGTTCAGGATTTAACTATGGCCTCCTTTGACGTAGAAAATTTGTTCACCAATGTACCCCTTCACGAAACAATTAGTTCTAATTGTGTTCTGTGCTTTCAATTGTATTAACTTGTGACTTTCTATATATGTTCTAGATTCTACGAACTGACGATGGAGCTGGACTCCGAAACGTTTTCTATAAAGATATGAATTTTTGTGGACTATTCTTTGCTTTTAAATTTTTAGTCAACTTGCGATTTAAGCAAATAAGTGACATTAATACTTTAAGCATGATGTAATGATGAACCAGGTATGGTGTAATGATGAAACAGGGATGGTGTAATGATGAAAAAGGGATGCTGTAATGATGAAACAGGCATGATCCAATGATGAAACGAATGATGCAATGATGAAACAGCAATGATGTAATGATGAAACAGCAATGAAATTAGAACAGTAAGCATTGTTGGGGGGAAGGATCAGTCAAAGTTAGAATCTTAGACGAAAAAATCAGAGGAAACAACCTTTGAATTTCCAACAATATTGCACAGAGCCGTGCAAATAGAAAATAAATCACGAGCAATCTTCGCCAGCCAGTTGCTCAGGCTCGAATGCAACAACAAACCTATTGAACCTTCACCCAAGGAAATTGCTCAGCCGCTGCCACATTATATAGAAATTGACATACAAAGTAAAAAAATTAGGAACTATATTGCATAATAGCCATCACGTATTAGGGTAAGAGTATTATCATGTGAAAGCGTTATCTATCAGGTGACTGTATTAGCTATCAGGCGACGGCGTTATCTTTCATGTTACGCTGTTATCTATCAGGTGACTGCGATATCTATCATGTTACGCTGTTATCTATCAGGTGACTGCGTTATCTTTCATGTTACGATGTTATCTATGAGCAGCGCCACTGGTGTTAGCGCCAGCCTGTCTGCTGATAAGCCTCCTGAAGGCGCCGTGCTGACGGCTGATGAGGTCAGCGTAGCTGCCGAGCTCTGCCACCTGACCGTCCTGCAGCACCGCGATGACGTCAGCAGTTCTGCGCGGTGGAATAGTGAGCATTATATCGTGATGATGGTGAGGACAGTGATGTACCTGATGGTAAGGAAAGTGATGTACCTGATGGTGAGGACAGTGATGTACCTGATGGTGGAGAGCCTGTGGGCGATGGTGAGGACAGTGCGTCCTTGCATGAGTCGTTCAATGGCCTCCTGCACGAGATGTTCGCTCTCGCTGTCCAGGGCACTGAACACAAATACCATTGTTAACAGCAACGAAACAATTTTTAACAGCAGAAATTTGTCATCAACAGCAACGAAACCATTGCTAACAGCAGCAAAACAATTTTTAACAGCGGAATCTTATCATTTCTTTGACTTGAAACAGAACAAAATGGTACAGGTTATCTTACTGATCTATATAATGCCCTCTTGAAGAATTCAATTGATATATTTCTCAATTTAAGGAGCTAAAAAACATTGAGTATTTTATGTTCGTCACAGATAAAAATATCATAAAACCGTGTAGCTGAGAAATATCTACCTTGTGTCCACATAAAAGAAATTAGAGAAAAGAAAAATTAGAAATTTCACTCACTGCAGTGAGTGAAAGAGAGCGTATTTTCTCGTCAGTCCATACGTGAAGTCACGGACGGACGGACATGACGAGCACAATAGCGCCTTTTTTCTCCATGAGGAAATGCGCTAAAAATATAACATATCATAATGAACATAACATATAACATATCACTTATGAACCTGGTGGCCTCGTCGAGACAGAGGATCTTAGGGCCGCTGATGAGCGCCCTGGCGATGGCCAGACGCTGCCGCTGCCCCCCCGACAGCAGCACCCCGCGCTCCCCGACTACCGTGTCCATGCCCTGTGTACAAAGGGCACCACTTGGTTGCTTCATGAGGTAACACAAATGAAAGTATCTTGAATAATTGACAAAAAATCAATGGCAAATTTAAACTCAATGGCCAATTTATTTTACAAAAAATTAATTAACTAAATTGTACGACAGATACACATACTCTACCTTATGTAATTTGTCAATAAACTCAAAGGCAAATTGGTTTTACACAAAATTAATATACATTGTCCATAAATACATATCCTCTACCTTAGGGAATTTGTTAATAAACTCGAGTGCGTTGGCTTGTCGCGCTGCGTCCTGCAGCTGCGCTTCTGTGACGCTCGACGGGTCCAAGCTGCCGTAGAGCAGGTTATCCCTGATGCTGGTGCTGAACAAGACAGGTTCCTGCACACGTAGAGCAGGTTATCCCTGATGCTGGTGCTGAACAAGACAGGTTCCTGCACACGTAGAGCAGGTTATCTCTGATGCTGGTGCTGAACAAGACAGGTTCCTGCACACGTAGAGCAGGTTATCCCTGATGCTGGTGCTGAACAAGACAGGTTCCTGCACACGTAGAGCAGGTTATCTCTGATGCTGGTGCTGAACAAGACAGGTTCCTGCACACGTAGAGCAGGTTATCCCTGATGCTGGTGCTGAACAAGACAGGTTCCT